GTGGCCGGCCGCCCGCGCGCTGAGCCGCCCTCGGAGCCCACCTTAGAAAATGCGTTTTGCTCTGAAATACTCGGCCAATCTCCCCGCCAGATCCGGGGGTTTAATCAGCCGTTCAGTGTGAGCACACTGCGAGGTGTCCATAGTCTAACCTTTAATTACTAAACATGAAATAATAACTGGCCCTAAAATCGCACTTCGTGCCAGACGCATTTTAAGGGGCTTTGCACCATGTTAACTCCAGTATAATCCTCAAAACAACCCGTAGAGGAAGGTACGGCTGGTCCTCTAGTAACATTTTGTTCAATTTTTTCTTTTTGTTATAAGAGATGCGCAGGAACTTAGCCTCTGGTAAAATCGATTTTGTTATAGGCTTAGGTGAGGGCCTGTCTTTATTAAAGCAGGTGCCCTGCTCCGGATTGTAAACGTGCCCAGCCCTGCAGCGACACCTAGAAGGGCGCCCTGACCACTTAGTTCAGGTCTCTTGCCCTCTGCCCTTCTCAACTCCCTTCCTGCCTTGACTCCTGAAAAGCTACCTCCCCCCTTGCCACTCCTGCCAAATACTCTAAAACCTTCCACATCCCAATTTTGCCAGTCTCCCTCCCTCCCTTTCTCCCCCACGCTGGCTTCCCTAACCCAGATTTATTCTGGTCTAAATTACTGCAGAGCCTCCTAGCCCGCCCTGGCTGGTGTGGTTCAGTTGGTTGGAGTGTCCTCCTGTGCACAAAGGAGTAACGGGTTCGATTCCCGGTCAGGGCACGTACCCAGATTGCCAGGTTCCAACCATCAGGGCCCCTATGGGAGGCAACTTATGTTTCTCTCGCTCCCTCTCTCTTCCTCTCTCTCTAAAATCAATACTAATATTTTATTTTATTTTTTTTTTGAGCCTCCTAGCCTCAGACTGACGAATCTCTGAGGGAAGGCAAGGGTGGAGAGGTGGGTGGGGAGAGATTAATCAAAGAATTTATAAGCATAGATACATAACCCATGGACACAAGCAATTGTATGGGGAAGGCCTGGGGGTGGGGCCGATGCGGGGTGGAAGGGATCAGTGGGGGGGAGTGGATATCTGTAATACTTTCAACAATAAAGATAAATAAAAAGTAATAAAATAAAAATCCTCCTAGCCCTTTCAGGTTACTCTGTTTTCTCCCTCAAAAGCAACTTGGCCGGTATGGGAGGCAACCTATAGAAGTTTCTCTCTCCCTCTCCCTCTCTCTCTCTAAAATCAATAATAATAATAATAATAAAGGCCTTTTAGCCCTTTCAGGTTACTCTTCTCCTTCAAGCACAACTTTCATTAACCCTGCCTCCCACCCCAGGAGCACTTTAGTGACTTCCGTTTGCCTGGATTCTGATTAACTTTCCCAGCAGGGACCTGACAGTGCGGTTCATCCACAGCCTCATCTGGCATCACAGCAGCACTAACTCCACCCAGAAGTCAGATTTCTGAAACTTCCTCACACAAGCCTTTCCTCCTCTGTCTTTCCCTCTCCATCTTTCCCCAGCTGCCTATTTTTCCTTCTGACCTTGACTGTGGGTCCACTGTTAGCCCTTTCATTTACTCTGCCTTACATGGTCGCCTAGCTTTTTGTGTATATTTGGTCCTTTCAGACAGTGGTTCCCTGTAAGGCAGCCACATTGTATTGTCTTGCATTATTTTGCATCTTCCACAGCATCCAATATGGGGATATACATATAGTAAACGTCCTGTAAATTCTTTTTAAGTGAATAATTTCCCTAAGCAAAGACATTACCGTAAAAATAGGCCAGTTAAAGCAGTTAGACCCCTAGGATACCGAACAGAAGCATATGTAAAACTGCACTATGGCTGTAGTTTACAACCCAGGGCTCAGGAATACCAAGAGAAAGAAAAAAAGTTCACCGTAAAAAAATTACCACTCAAAAACACATCCCATCGACAGTGAGTGGGCAAAACAGGAAGCCACTGCTCCTGGGAACTTCACATAATAGAGCAATCTGAAAGAAACTTAGTTTTGTTAATCCTCACCAGAGGATATTTTTCCCATTGATTTTTTTAATTTTTTTATTTTTAACTATATTGATTTCAGAGAGAGGAAAGGAGAGGGAGAGAGAAACATCAATGATCAGAGAGTCATTGATCGGCTGCCTCCTGCACGCCCCCGACTGGGGATCAAGCCCACACCCCAGGCATGTGCCCTGACCAGGAATTGAACCCCGATCGCCTGGATCCTAGGTCGATGCTCAACCACTGAGCCATGCCTGGCCAGGCTTTCCATTGAATTTTAGAGAGGGAGGGAGGG